AATCAGTAGACTAAATGGAAATAGTGTGTCCTCTACCAACACCATATGAATTGGAAATGTCCAATTACTAATGATCGTTACACTTCCTCTAATAGACTAACGTCCATTCACTAGTTCAGTTTAGCTTTTGTAATTGAATATTGTTACAACTATTTTTATGTTTTTTAGTTTAATCTTTATGCTATGATATTTTATGTTTATAATTTTACCGTACTTCAACACCAATAAATATGGGACAAATTTTCATATATAACAAAATACAATACAATATGAAACGTAAACCATAAACCCTAAAGCGTAACACCATACAATACATTCTGAATATTAAGGTATAAAACGTAAACCGTAACCAAATACAATATCGTTTTATGATTACTTGATCTACATATTATGCCTAACAAGTAGGAATACAAGGCACCCTAAACCAAGTCTTAAAATACAGGAAATTATACTTGGTGAATTGTGGCCCCAAAGCAGATAACATATGATTCTTTCTTGGTGCACTTGTGCCTTTATAACATTCAGGGAAGAGAAAAAAACCACCCTTTGACATGGTGACTTTGTTAGATTCTTTCCCTGTAAAGAAATTTTTTATATCCATTCTTTCAATATTACTTACCTATGATGCATTTCATAGGTAATTACTCCATCCACGATGAAATTATATATATCTTGGAACATGATGATGTAACATCCTTATAATTCAGTTGATAATGTTAAAATATGTTAATGTAACGAAATATGATTACATGTGTTGGTAGAAAGGTTAAAATCATCAAATGTAGTAACGAAGGTAACAAATTATAATATGATTAAGAATGAGATTTGTATGCTTAAAATAATGCTTATTCAATAAAGGGTAAAAAGGACAAAGTATACTCTAAGATACCAAAAGTGGGACAAAAACGGAAAAATCACTTAATGTGGATATAAGAAAGAAACACGATATATAAGATTCAAATAATATTTTTAAAAGTGTTATGAACGTATTAGAACCTTAAATTTTCAGTAATGTGGAAAATGGTTTTGGAAAATAAAGCAAAATGGAACAAAATATAAGAAATGATGCTAAATATGCTTTAGACATTATTTTGGGTAGAAATTTTATTTGAATGTTTTAATATTTATTAAAAGCAATACGGTGTAAAAAATTAGGTACTTGGACGTAAATATGAAGAAATAGCTAAGTGGGTTGCTATAATTAAATAAAATAACAAAGTAGGTTGCTATTGTATGTAGTGTTTTGGACTAACAAGAATATCATTATAACACACTTTATATATGAAAATTAGTGCATTAATACCACTACAAAAATTTATCCAGACATGAATTAAAGTTTCAAAAAGCATGAAGAATCCAAAGCCAATAGTACTAGTTCTTATATTCGATTTTGAAACTACATTACTTGGATTTTTTTGTAAAGTTTAGGTCCTTAATTTCAATTTTATATGTACCATTTTATATTTAACTCAAAACTGAAAGCAAAAAAAATTAAGTAAATTGGACTTCATATGAGGAAGTTATGTTATTGAAATTTATATCTACAATATGACCATCAATGTATTTAATATGGGTATGTATGCAATAAGGTCATCCATGTCTGCAATATAGGTCTTTATGAAATTTGGGCATTATGTTAAACTGGTATGTAAGGGGGGAATGAGACCACTTTTGTCTCTCTTTTAAGTTGTGAAGACTTGTGCATTTAAGCCATTTTCTCCCTAAGAGTTCCAAGAAAATGTGTGTGTGTATGCATTCCATGGTGCAATTTATTTGTGTTTTACTTCAAATTTGATGCCAAGAAGTGAAATCAAAGGGGAAAATGAAAAATTAAGCTTTATTCTACGTAGATTAAAGGTTTATCAAATTTCGTAAGCATTCAGTGGTGTTTATTGATGATTTTGAAGCATATTCATGAACCCTAACAATTTGGTAAAAGCTTGCATGTGTGAGCCAAGTAAAGATTAGCATGATTTGAGTTGAAATAACATGTTATCTACCATAAATATTATGTTTAGAGTGTTATTTATCCCTAAAGTTAAGTAATCTTGTTTACATGTTAGGGAATTTGTTAGATGATGATTCATTTGGTATTTTGACATGTTATTCTTACTGGTCCATCAAGAATAATGTGTGATTTGTCAATACTTAGATATTTAGGGTAAGAACCCTAAATTAGAATTTTATTTGGATATAGTGTCAAGATAAATTGTAAAAAGCTTATAAATTTGACAGTTATATTCTTCAATTATATGACAATATCTTTAATTTTTGGAATGAACTTATGAATGAAAAGTAAATCTTGACCAAGGAAAGTGAAACTTGAGATTATGTATTGAAATATGATTAAAATTATTATTGTTGCTAGTAATTTGCCCTACTTGATTCTTATGATAACTAAATAGACATAATTGGTCTTATTAATAGATTTAGAACTCAAGGAAGAGAAAATTGTGTCTTGGAGAATAAGGTTGTCTTGGATTTAACATCTTAAGGCGGGTATATAGAGAATTTTTATCCATTTTTGTGTACATGTCACAAATGATTAAATTGTTTCTAAAGCACAAGCCTTTATATAGTTTGAAATACTTAACAGATTGAAAAACACCATTTTATGTTAGCACTTATGAAAGTTATATATGCTAGCATTTTAATTAAGATTGAAAAATGGTTATTTGTAGTGTGCTCACGCATACATAGATTTTGAATTTCATTTTTTAATTATGAATATGGTATGGACTCCTTTGGTTGGATTCCAATACTACTAGGATGATACCTCCTTTCGCAAAGTAGTAATGGTTAGTAATATACCGATAGTTATATCCAGAGTGAATGAATTTTTTATAGGCAATTAGCGGCAACAAAAAACGATGGATAGACGTGTTTTCCACCTTAGTTTGATATGGGGGCATGACATTACATATCGTGAAAGAACGAGCAAATCATGGTTTTAACCAAGAGCTTGAGCAAAAGTTTGGAATATTGTGCTTGGAATCATGCATTGTATCACATTGTATAAATGCATGAAAGTATATTGATAGTTTTGAACAAGTTTTCAAATATGCTATCGCAACAAATAATTTGAATTGCATAAATATTTTGAAAGAATTTTTCTTTGAAATGCAAACTAGTTTGAAAAACAAAAAAGTTTTGAAAGGTGAGGGTTTTGTGTCTAACCGTGTGTATCTCACAAGACAAATTGTCTTTTGTATTATTATTATTATTATTATTATTATTATTATTATTATTATTATTATGTGATGTATCCCGGTTAAAGATGGACATTATAGAAGACTTAGGTGTTGTTTGTTTTTTTAAAAAAACCTCTTCAAATCACTTTATGTTACGCGGTGCAGCACACGCGCAGCACTTTCCCTATCACAGCAGTTTGTTTTTTGGAAGACTTCAGACTGCAAAACCTCTGCGCGTGTGCTGCGTGGCACAGCACTTGACTTGCCTCTTCAAACCTCTTCAGCTTTCATTTTTTTGAAGTGTTTTTTTTAGAATTTTGGTATAACTTATTTTTTTTTAAACTTTTATTTTTTTAAAAAACTTAGATTTTTTTAAACTTTTATTTACGGATTTGATACAATTTTTTATTATAGTTTCCACAATTTTTTTAACTTGATTTAAAAAAAAAAAAAAAAAAAAACTTTAGTTTTTTTTAATTTTTTTTACCGTTTCTGTTAATAATATTTCCAGTTTCAATTTCATCTTTTTTAACGTGTGTAATTTTTTACGAACTTTGTAGACATCGCTTGCAATTCTTTCTTAATTTTTTTTTATTATTTTCTTTTTATGTTTTTTAAAATTAGTTTTTTTCTAGAATAAAGTTGTTAGCTTCTTTTATATTTTTGTAAGTTTTTTTAAAAAAGTTTTATATTTTTGTTTTTTTACATGTTCTTTTTAATATTCTTTCAATGTTTTAATACTAGAATTATTTAAATTTCGGTGTTGAAAACTATTTTCAGTTTATAAAATTAGTTTATTTAAACTTCAGTTTACTGCAGCAGTCAGCAGATGTTAAAAAACAAACATGCTTCTTATTATAGGCTGCAGCCGTTTGTTCCACCTCTTCCGCTACAGAGGATAGAGGTGGTCCGCAGACTTCACGAATTTTTGCTTCGAAAAAACAAACAACACATTAGTTTCTTATTATGACTTTTGATGAAGATTAAAAGACTTGAAATATTGGGGATTAGCATGAGAGAGAAGTTCTAGTCATTACTTATTTATTATAACCTTTTGACACTTTTATAATTTCTCCATGGCTTTGATGGTCTTTGTAACCCCCGTTCTGGACATAGTTCCAAATGTGTTATATGATTGGACCACACAACCGCATTTCCTGACATTATCGAAAATAATGTCTCATATTGCATGCTAGTCCCAATGACAAAAGGATGAGGGGTTACATACTATTATGGAATCTAATGAACTTGTTCGCAATCCGAAGAAGACAAATCAGAATCAATTCTCCGAAATGTCCTATATCAGGACATAAAGCTTAATAGTAACTTGTTTGATAAATCAAATGTAATATATCAAGCATACAAATAAAAAAAAATGTTACTTTAACGTTAAAAAATTCCAATGTGGGTCATTCTGGGTGCCAAATCCAAATAAATGCATAATAACATCGTCAAAACTCAAACAACTTATCAATGACCGAAGTACATTACGATATAAGGACATTAGATGTTGCAATTTCGAATAAAACCCGATGAATCCAAAAAAATTCTGGGTCGGGGACAAAATAAAATACTTGAGGAGGGATTGGTGCAAATGAAATGTATACCCACTTTATATATTGTCCGGAATCCGGAATGCTATGTTCCAGACATATGAGTCATTTCGATAAAGAGGGGGAAAAAAGGTCAAATCCTATCATTTTAATCTTTGATATGGTCATTTTTGTCAGTATCACCGTTCAATATCTTTTAGGATTTGGTCATAACAAATATGCAAGAGTATCCAGATGAGAAAAATAACTTGCCAATTCGTGAACTCCTGTTAATGAATATAAATAGAGAATTTTCTCTATAACTTCCATTGACAAATACAAACAAACAATGCACATACCGCAAGGTCATTACAACAAATAACATACAGAACTTGAAAAAAAAAAAAAACACTTTTGATGAACAAAGTAACGTGCGCACTTCCTAAATGATGACAAACACAAATCACTTGGTGTAAAGAACATCCTCCCATGGGTGCCTATATAGCGGTTGCTTCAACCTCTTTTGGTCAAACGTATGCCTACACGTAGTCAAAGGGTATTTTAGTCATTTAGTAAAAGTACATGAGAGAGAGAGAGAGAGAGAGATGAATAAAATAAACTTACCCAATGAGACCGATTGAACGGGCCAACACAAAGAGGCCATTAAGGTAACCAATATTCACAATTTCATCAATTTCTTGTTTTGTGAACATTCCACTTCCAGCAAGAAGATCCAAGAAAAGGGTACCAATGGCCCCATCAACATTCATTACTAAATTGTTTGCTTTTGAAAGAGTGTAAGTCTCAACTTCAACTGCATATTCCATGTATTTTGTTGATGGAAAATGCGTTCGGGCAAATAGTTGTAGCAATTCCACTCTTTTATCCCTATTATCACCTCGCTTTATCCTTTTTAACCACAAAAAACAATCCAAACATGTCAATTACTTTTCATTAACAAATAATTATTAAAATAAAAAAATAAAAAAAAAATAACCTGTGCCCGATTCCTGGTACACGAATACCCTTCTTTTTCATGCTTTCAACAAACTCATATGGTGTAAGTTTCTGTCAAAAAAAAAAAAAAAAAAAGTTTTAGGATCCTTTGAGGTCAAACCGGGTTGACTTTGACCATAGTTGACCAAACTCACCCTGTCATAAGCGTCCTTGAAGTAACGAGCAGCATCATCAACCGCACCCCCGAAACGTGGACCGATTGTTAGCAAACCTGTTCTCAAAGTTTTGTAAAATATAATAAGATGTGTTTTCCCAAAATGACCATTTTACCCCTACATCCTAAAAAACAAATTTCGTAATATTCATTAAGTTTACCTGAAACAAGACTTGATACTAAATCTTTTCCTGCCCTTGCGGTTACTATTGTGTTGTGAGCACCAGAGACACACGGACCGTGATCAGCACATAACATCACGCAAATCTGAGAAAATTGTCCATTAGTGACAAACATCTAGAAATATGAGGGGGTATTTTGAAATTTTAACAAACACACCTCGATGAAATGTGTGCAGTAGCGTGGAAGACTACGTTTGAACCACAACAGAGAAATAACATCACCAATACCCATTCCCTTTTCAACAATTGTGGACATTGGTACCCCTGCATAACATGGCTCCTCACCTGAAAATTGAAATTAAAAAATAATTAATCTCTATAAAATATTCATAAATGAATTATACCCTTAATTTATTTTTTATTTAAAAAAAAAAATTGTACCTCTATCGTCAGAAATGGTTGAAATGATATGAGTAGGTGCTCGTACTTTCCCGCTTTTAATTGCTGAGTTAAGATCTTCAGGGATTTGTGGAGGAGTGATTTCCTTAACAGGGGTAATCTTTCCCTCCTCGGCCTAATAAAACAACGAAATTTTTTGAGTTCGTGAAGGGCAAAATGGGAATATAAAAAAGATTAGGATTAGGATTTTTACCAATTTCTCGTATGTTTCCTTGATTGAAGCTTCAAATGATTCAAATGAAGTGGGGACAACTGCTCCGGCATCTTTGAGTGCTTCATTTTTAGCTTGTGCAGACTCCATTTCACCACCACTTTTGGCTCCCTGATTAATGAATGGGTAAGTAAAAAAGATTAAACATGATCAACAGAATTACGAAATTACCCTTCCAAATTAAAGAAAGGAAAAATAGCAATGTAATGTACTTTCTTTCTTACCCACAATAGCAACATACTTGAATTCTTTATCGATAATAGCATTGTACTTTATTTTACCTATAAATTATAAAAGCAACATACTTACTTTTTGCTATTTATTTGTTACATTACATATTCCCATTATTGGTAAAGAAAATGCAAGTATGTTGCTATTATGGACAGGATAAAGATATGTATATATTGATATTAAGGGTAACTAAAAAGTAAAGTACACTGTCTATATTGGTGAAAGGTTGCTATTTCTTGCATAATTTAGCATTTAAGAAAGTAAGATAATAAACTTACTGCATGACCAAATTGAACTTCTGATTTAAAGAGACGTGCACAAGTTCCACTGACCCAAGCGCATACCGGTTTATTGATTTTTCCTGATTTAAGTGCTTCAACTAATGAATATTCATCTCTTCCACCGAGTTCCCCAAGCACAACAATCATTTTTATCTGAAAAATATATAAAAATGTCAAAAATAAATAAATAAATAGAGAGATGAGAGATTTATAATTCTATATACCTGTGGAATGTTGTTGAATCTCAAAACATGATCAGAAAGGGTGGAACCGGGAAAAACATCTCCTCCAATAGCAATGCCTTCATAGATTCCATCTGTCACACGCGCGATTGTGTTGTATAACTCGTTAGACATCCCACCCTGTAATTTAAATTTAAATTTTTTATTTTAACAATTATCTTATCTCTCACAATTACTAATACATGGTCAATTAAAGTCAAACATACTTACAGATTTTGAGACAAATCCAACAGATCCAGGCCTATACAATTTGCATTGAATAATGTTATCAATGGTTCCAGCAGTGTCACCAATCTTGAAAGCTCCAGCTTGAATCCCACCAACAGTTGCAGGACCAATAACAACCTGCAAGAACAACCATCAGTGGTTAACTATGATTAAAGTTGTTAAGGGTATTATCGTAATTTCGTACCTTGTTGTTTGACCTTGCATAGGAGATCAACTCCTTGGTGTCTGATTCAGGAACACCTTCAGCTATAATGGCCACAACTCTGATGGTAGGTTGTTTGAGGGCAAGTTTGGAAGAAGCAGCAGCACTGTATAAATTTATAAAAGTATTTAATTACCAAAATCAGAAATAAAAGCTTCATAACCACTAATGAAATAAGATACAAGTAGACTAGAACTAACCTTCTGAATGATGCAAAGTTTATGAATACATCAGCAGTAGGATGTGCAGCACAAGCTGCTTCAATGCTGCAATATTGATGTAAATTTATAGTATTAAAGATAAGGTTTATCTTGTTATAATCAATCGGAAATAAATAAACAAATATATATATATATATATATATATATATATATATATATATATATATATATAAAACATACGTGGAATGGACTGGAATGGCGATTTCCTCTTGCCCGAAGAATAGTTTCTGGAATCCTTCAGCACCAGGGTTGATGATTCCAGCAACTGAGGGTGTTTCTCTCCCTTCAAGATTGATAAAAAGTTGAAGTAATGTTAGTTGAAAGTTAAAGATTTATGAATATGAAATTAAGAAAAGTTATAGGGTAAATTTAGATATACCACAAAGGAAGTCAAAATCAAGCATCCGTTGAATTGGTAATTGTTTGTAGTTATAGAACAATGCTTGTGTTGTACGAGAGAATATTTGTCCAGTCGCCATGGTGGTCACCTGTATGTAAGTAAGGTAAATGAGACTGAGAACAGAAATGAGAAATGGAAGCAAGGGAATGAACACAGAAAGCGTGAAACGACATTTCAGATGACGATCCTTCACTAACTGATAAAATTAGGAAGATTTTTGAACTCAAATCAAAATCAGCCAACTTTTGTAACGATGAGGATGATCAAAGTTCAAACAAAGGGGATCAGTAGAACTTAAATCACACTGATTCGGCAACACCATAAAAATCAGATCACACAAAATTGATCATATCTCTAACGATCAATGCAAATAGTGAAATAGTCCTGATCTTCTGGATAAGAACTACCATAGAAAGCTTGAATTTCAATCAGAAAACAAAAAAAAAAAAAAAAAAAAAAAAAACCCAACTATTATTACAGCCACTAATCGATCTGATAATCGAACTTAATTGAAAAATCTCAACCCGAAAATCATGGATTCCTATATAAAAAAAACATATCAAATCATGTACGTCTCGGAAATATCGAGTAAATCATATAAGATGGATCAAACACTAAACAACTCAAGAGACAAATTCGAACCATAAAACACGCGAAAACACCTGAAATAACATACAAATAGATATTATTAGAAATTTAAGTACCTGGGTATGTAAGTATTTGTTAAAACTCGTCAAATGTGTGAGTGAGTGGCTTTGGCGACGAGCTATGAAGTGTGTGAGAAGACAAATGGGTGTGCTGTATATATAGAGAGAAGAGATGGAGTAGACAAAAAGTGGTATGTATATTCTTGTGATATCTACAGATAATATTATACATATATAATTTTTGTATGTATATCCGTTTTTTCAAAGAAACCATGCCACTGAGTGAAGAGGGGAAGATGGCGGTATGGTTGTTGGCACTTGTGGAGTGCGATGGCCAAAATTGACCTCCAAACAATTTTGCTTCATGAAATTTTTGTTTGATTTTGATGACTATAAAATACTATTATTTTATTAGATTTTGGGCAAATATTTCTTTAAATGTCGTATCATCTCTAAAAAAAAAAAATTAGTTTTAAAATAAATAAATCATTGATTGAATTTTATTCTTATCTTTCGCACCATTGGATCATTATGCTTACATCATCTTATCAACCCCTTTATTTTTTTTTCTCATCAATTTTATAAAACATACTTAGGTTTTATATTAGAAATTATATTAATGAAAATTAAATTTCACCCAAAAATAAATGAAAAAGATACTCGTCCCCACCCCTCGTTACCCACACTTACGCTCTCTCACTCCTTCACAAAATCTATCTAACCTAAGTTTTGTACGGGAGAAAAAAATAGGGGAAAGAAGAAATAGAAAACTTATGGGCTTCGATGTGTGTGATGAGTTTGTGTTCGATCATGAAAGAAGGAGAATGATATAGAAAGAAGGTGAGCTTTATTGGGACAACGAAATCGAGACAGATCAAGATAGAGTTCGACGAGATGAAGTAGCAGCTAATTTGAGATGTCAAAAGCATCATGAATAGATGATTCCAGAAGCAGGTAAGAGATACTTGATAATGATGTTATTGATTTCTTCAATGAAGTTTGATTTTTTTTTTTTTTGTAGTTATTCAGTCGTACTCGAGAATTTTAACTTATTATTGTGACTTGCTGCTTCTTCTATTTCTTTTTTCTACTTCCTGTTGTCACATGTTTTTTTATCCATATGGCTTACTTGAATGTATTCCAAAACAACACTTTCAAATTTGATAGAATTGTTGTACGACTTTAGTGCTGGAGAAGTGCCTGGATATAATGTTGCATCTCTTGCCCATCAAGTGTTTGCTAAAATGATTGAATGAAATATGAAATATATATGGTGGGTAGTAGTCTTTTTTTATTTTTTATATAAGATATTAGTTAAAATATTTTATTGTTATGCCTCTTTTATTTTTATTTTCGTTGAAGATATTGTTCGAATCTATGTTGAGAAGTAAATATGATTGTATCTTTTGTTATTTTTAATCAAATTTAACAAAGCATATGTATTGATTAAAAATGTTGAGAATGTAACAATAACATCACTCAAATCTATCAGGTCATCTATCATTTTGCATGCATGATCTTTTTGAAACAGGTAGAGTTTGATTATGTGCATTTGTACCATAAAAGTCAAACATTTCCAATTTTTTAAATATGTGCAGGATCCTTCTTGGGCAACAATGGCATATGGATTTCTTCTTATAGGTATTATATTTTAATTTCTGTTTTTTCCATCATTTGTATCAGATGAGTAAATATATGAATCTTCTTAACTGTCTTCTTGGCGGTCTTAGGAAAGTTGAGATAATTCCTCGAGCATGCTGCTATTAAAGAAAGTAATGACAAAAGAAAAAAAACATTATATTGGAAAGAAGCATGTATACTCTCCAAGTGTTGTTGTCAGGCAAGATGGGAATAGAATAAACAGTTTTAATATAAAGATTAAAAAATGAGAATTTATACAAATTTAATTTGCTGTTCAGTTTTCTAAGAATTAGTTTTTGTCTAAAATACCAAGATTTTGGTTCACAGGTTCAAATTTTTGATATTTTTACAACTACTTGATTTTTTTTCGGTTTTCCCTTTTTTGCTATATTTTTAAGGGATTTTGACCAGGTTAGTAGCATATTGTTTTTATTGCAAGTAGCTTCTGAGGTTTTCATGTTTTTCTTTTATTTTTACTATTTAGGTCATAGATCATAGTAATTAGTCTTAATTTCTTAATCGAGACATTTGTTTGATGATTTGACAGGTGACTGATGAAAATTCTAAGAGTATCTCTTCGGTTTTGTTTTTTGAAGATTATGTCTTGGGATTTCCTGTAATTGAGGATCAATGTTTGGATTTCATGTCTCAGTATGAGATGATGTCAACCCATCATCATCATTGATTGGTATAAATTTCCTTTAGAATTTCATATAAAAGAGTTCTATTGAGTTTATGCTTGATCAAATGTAGTAAGATTTGATTATGGTACATGTAAGATGCTTTTACACCCATGTAAATCCTACTTTATGTTCTTATTGCAACAAAGTCTTCAAAAAAATCATACCAATTAGTGTAGCAATGACTACAGAAACAAGGTCAGTAAATCCCATCTTTTTATATATTTGTTTGTATCTTTCTTATTGCTTAAATCCAAATCTCTATCTATCAAATTGAATTTTCCTTTAGTCCAAAAATATGGCTACCCAAAGAGCAATTGCTAATGTCTATGCTTTAGGCTTACGTGCTCCTGGTTTCTTTGATAAAGTGTTAAATGTTGACAAGTGCTTTTTACAAAGTGAATCGCGAATAAGGTAAGGTACTTTGGATCATGGAACCATTGTCATTAATTTTTAGTGGATAGAATTATAAGAATTTCATCTTTGGTAATTATGAAAGATGAAGATGATAACATGCCTCCTTTTAATTTGCATTTCTTATGTATAGGTTCTTGTAGCCGTTCAAGATTGTTGGAGGAATCATGAAGTTAGACTCTCACCATATGATTGCCACTCTCATGATGGATTTATAAAGCACCTCATGATAAGAAGTGGAAGGTACCGCTTTTTTTCCTGCATATTTTTATGAAATTATTACTTAATTACTAAAGATTAATAGTCTAATACTAATATACATTAATTACAACTCCATAACTTTTCACAAAGATGTTAACACTAGACTCCCTTAACTTGTGGTTAATTTTGCGACATCTTCCTACTAACCAGAGCTTTTAAATCCCCTTGTTGACAGACTATCAGTTTTCCCAAAAGTGGTATGCAAATTTATCACATACTTATTATACTTTTTTTATATATTTTTTAAGGTAGGCGTCATGAATAATGTAAGAACATCATTTGGAAACACATCTGTGAGAGAGAAAGAGTACACTCTAAACGGGAAAGCTCCGGCTACTTCTTTATCCCTAAAGAAGTTACGGTTTTGACTAAAGAAATAGAGAAGAGGTTTAAATTTTATAAACCCAAGTTTTATAAAATATAAACTTTGTCTTTAGGTAAAAGACAAAAAGTATTCAACTAGTCCAAAAGGTTGTGCATGACTTATTAATTCATACCTTATGAAATAATGTGTTACTTGTATTGTAAAATAGTTATTTCCATGAAATAAATATTTTCCCAATTTATTATAAGAGTTTATGAATATTTATTAAAATCAATTTCTAATAAATAATCAATTGTATCAAGTTGTTGTTAGTGTGACCCTTAGTATCATATGTTAATTAGCAATATCATTCTAATATGACTCTTGAGCATATTAGATCTTTCAGACACCAAGTAATCTGTTCGAGTCAGTGTCGTAGAGTTTTCTCGCCATGCCTTTCCTCCGGCTGTTGGTGTCGATATGGATGTTATGGCGAACATTTCCCTTTCTCATAACATGCCTTACACTGCTTCCCAGGCTATGTTTTATCTGGTGGTTGGCTCTCGGTGTATCTAGCGCCTCGATGAGCTGGAGCTCGGCCATGCTGGTTTTGCTGCTCGTGAGTCAGGATACAAATTGCAAATTGCAGAGCTTTAGAAGGAAATCCATAGCTTTGACCATCAGCATGATCTGATGGCATCCGAGAAGGCGTCTGTGGAGGAGGTTCGAGTGCTGTTAGAGACTAAGTTGGATTCTTTGGTGTAGGTTGATGATCCAAAACGAGAGCCTTGAAAGAGATGTTGTTGATCATGACAAGTTGGTTAAGGAGATCCGGGCTGAGATGGATGCACTACGCCAGGATCGTGATTGGCTTCTGCGGGTGGAGGTTGTGCGTATTATGGACGGGTTAATTGAACATCTGGAGTTTACTGGTGAGGTTAGCCGTATTCGTCACACTGCTTTCGTTGTTGGGGAAGAGGTTGGCCGTGTTGGACTAAAGTTGGAAATAGATTCTGGAACCTATGATTATGAGGCCAGCGATTCCTGGTCCAACCATACAACAGGATTGGATGATGCTCTGCTTATCTTTGCTACAGTTGATTATGCTCATCTGCTTGGTTTGGCCGGTTGGACATGGCTGGAATGAGGCAACTCTGTGCTTTTGATGATGTCGACGAGCCCCGGGTTTATCCTGCAGGTGGTGATGATGCTGATGGCAATGGGGTGCGTGGTGGTGATGTTATTGTGCCACATGTTGAAAAAGGTGTTGGTGGTGGTGGTGTCGATCAAATTTTTGAAGGAGATGTTGGTGGTGGCAATGAAGAGGTTGGTGGTGGTGATGAGGAGGCTGGTGGTGGTGAGGAGGAGGCTGGTAGGCTGTGAGGTACCTTGTATGATTGTGCTACCCTTCGGGATGAAAAAATCTGATGAAGCTTTGTTGTTTGTTTTTCTTTCCTTTGTGTATGGATTCAGTCCTTCGTGGCATCGACTTATTTTGGGCCCTGCGTGGCCATGTTTGTAATGACTTGCATATTTGAATGCTAACTTTAGTTTCATGTAGCTTCTTTTGCATGTTCTTAATTTTTCCCGTTATTTGGTTAAGTGCTCCCCCTCTTCTTCTTTTTTGTGTGTGGGGCCTCTTTTGGATTTACGGGTATGTGCTTATTTTTAACAATTTGTTAAGGATATGCTTGGCCTAGCTGTACAGGAGGTATTCTAAGTTTATAATTTATATGCGCTAAGCATTTATGTATAACGACTATCTTGGGTCTCTATGTTTTTGCATTGCACTGAACAAATTAAGCTCTTTTTGCAATGAGATGCACTAATTACTTTGCGTTGTATTAAGCTTTTCCTGCGACGAAATACACTAAGCATTTGGCGTTGTAGTGAGTGCATTAAGTTCTTTTTGGTAAGGAAATACACTAAGTATTTGACGTTGTAATGAGTATACTAAGCTATTTTCTGCAATGAAATACACCAAGTATTTGACGTTGTAATGAGTACATTAAGCTCTTTTCTTCAATGAAATACACTAAGTATTTTGAAGGTGCACTAAGCCTGAA